GGGACAATTCAAGGCAGGTTTTGTTAAAAAGTTAAAACTCAAGGATGGATCAGTACCCATTGTTCATGATCCAGCTGCACCTCCAGAAGAAGTAAGTCTCACATTTTTTATTTATGTTATGTTTGCCTTTAATGTGATAGAACAGATCAGACATGACAGGAAGTGAAGTGGGAGAGAGAGAGAGGAGGGGGGCGTGATCAGGAAAGGTCCTCGAGTCGAGATTTGAACACGGGACATCCAAAGCGCAATGGCGCTGTATGTCAACGCACTGCCCACAAGGCTATCGGTGCCAACACACTTTTTATTTTTTATGATTATTTGCGAATCGTGTTTGCTTTTCCACAAAAGAGAGGGGCGGGGTGAGCAGAACTCATTAGCATTTAAAGGAACATGCAACGAAACTGGTTGCTGTGAAAAGAGCTGTTTTTGACAAGGTAAAAGGGTGTTGTTTTACAATACCATTGAGAAGTTTTAACCAAAGTATGTTATAGACTTTTCATTAAGATCCTAAAGAATCGTATCAACTTGTGGAAAATTGGGCATCTGATGACCCCTTTAACAAAAAGTACTTGCAGGAATAAATAATACAATAAATGCAATTCCATTGACAAATTATGAGATAATTTTAATACTGAATATGTTTCTAATTTAATTTAATTAATAAAGATAATTAAAAAAGAAAAACTTCAACACTTTATTTTGATAGTCCACTTTAGACATTCTACAAACAGTAAGTAACTTTGCAGTGTCAACTAGCAGTCATTAGAGTATTAGTAGACTGTCTGCTTAATATCTTGTAACACTTTATTTTGATGGGTCCACAACATACAACATACTGACTATGAGAAACTTTGCAAGTATATGTCAACTTATTCTACTCGTGACAAAATCAGATGTAACCCCCTTTGTAATCCTTAACATTTTCATAAGTAACTGTAATTTAATTAAAAAAAAATTCTTAGTAACTGTAACTGATTACAATTACTTTTATTTTGTAATAAGTACAAGTAAAGTGCAACATAGAGTGCAAGAAGCAAGTGTCCATCTCATAGTCCAAATCACCGAAATCAAAGTTCAGTATTATAGTGTAAGAATGACAACATGTCCACGTGTTCTGGTCTACTAATAATAAAATATA